TAGCACATGAATAATGATAGTTGGAATCAATATATAATAACTATCCATTATGGTATTGGTTTCATATGAACCTACATGATTAATAGTTAAAAAAATTTTGTTCCAAAATTTTATTTTAAAATTTAGTCTTAATAACCATTACTCAAAGGATATTTAGTGCTCGTTTGGTGTGGTGAGAGGTTTTAATAAAAGTTCTGTTGAAAAAAAAACTGTCGTAGAAGTGTTATTTTTGTAAATAAAAAGAAAAATAAAAATAAAATAAAAATAATATGTTAGTTTCATTAAAACCAAATGAGAAACTTCTGTAAAAGCACCAATTTGGTGCTTATGAGATTTACAATGAAATAGACAAAATACTAGTTTATGAGAAGTTGTAACATTTTTTATAAATTATAATATTTGATACAGCTGGAGTTTTTGAAGTTCAAAAAAACTTCTCACCGACTTACCAAACATAGCCTTATTAGGCCTTACTCAAACATTTGATGAAAGGTACTAAAAACGTTATAATTTCAAAACATGAACCATTTAATGGGAGGAACCACTTGTAATATTAGTTAATTTTTATCTAATAATTTAAATTGCATTAAATTACACAATATTTTTTTATGGGTTTTTCTATTCTATACCCTTGAGGCATAGGTTAAAAGGACTTTTTATTAGAATTGTATATAAAAAATTATAAAAGTTAATATTAATTTTTATGTTAATGCCAAATAAGAATTTAATTGGATATTTAATAAATTAAATATTAATTTTTATTTTTTAATATAAATTTATAATAAAAATATATATTTAATACATCTTTAAGGATACGGGTTGGACAAATTCTTTTTTTATTATAATTTACATGTTTAATACTACTACAAAGCTAAAAACTGCCTCTTTTTTTTTTTCTTTTGTCTATTGTTTTTTATTTTTTTTAGCCAACCTTTTGTCTAATTGGTTAGTTGGTTAAGATTGCTGGGAGGGTGGGACCCAAATGTCAGAAAAAGCATGTGCCTGAGATTCATTGGATGGAGGACCCACAAAGTGGCCATGTGAAGCTGTTTAGTTGCGGTCGTGTGTCGCCCATGTCTCCAACCCTTTCCCATGTGCGCCGCTGCAGGGTATCCCACCGCCCCTTCCGCCTTTCTCATTTCTTTATTTTTTTGCACTACATTAATCCCATGCATTTAATGCTCATATTTATATAAAATTTTAATTATTTATTATTTTATTTTATTTTTTTAATTAATTTTTTATATTTAAAAGTCACGTTAAATTTTAATTAATTAAAAATTAAATCGTATTAGATCTTAATTAATTAAAAATTAAGTCGTATTAAATTTCAATTAATTAGAAATTAAGTCGTATTAAATCCCATAAAAGAAAAAACTCCTCTAAATGCTTGTTTCTTCATTCATAAGACTATAAAACTACAAGACTATAAGACTACAAGACTATAAGACTTGAAGACTATAAGACTTGAAGACTATAAGACTTGAAGACTATAAGACTCGAATTCGAAATTTTATTTAACTCTTCTGGCGCTTGTTTTCCATTCGTAAGACTATAAGACTATAAGACTATAAGACTATAAGACTTGAATTCGAAATTTTATTTAAGAAAAACTGAACTCTTTTCACTTGAATTAATAAGTTATGAATAGTTATTATTTTATTTTTAATAATTGAGAATTATTATAATTTTTTAAGTAAAAAAATAATTATTTTTAATAAATATAATTAAAAATAAATTTTAATCATTATAAATAAAAAATAATTAATTAACATTTTATATAAATATAATGTATGATGTTTGATTCCTACTCTTAATCAGTTGATAAGCCTTGCTATAACGTTCACCTATTTCTTCCTCAGTCAATGGCTACCCTTATTAACTAAACTAGATAGTAGATATCTCCTACCACATGAGGATCTATTGAACTGAGATTATGGCACTTGGTGTAGGTTACTCCTGCCAAGAGTCCCAAAGAAAATTCTCACTGATCTCTTCCATCATTAATCATCATTATAACCTAATGATGGAGTATAAATGTGTAAGTAATGGTAATAAATAATAATAATAATAATAATAATAAATAATTCATTCTTTATAACCAAAGATATATTGATAGTTTCTTGAACATTAAAAAAAAGAGATATTGATGTTCTGATGTATTTAACAGGTGGAGGTTATTTTATGTTGGGATTTAGTTAAACAAAGTTGTAAGGTCAGAGAGTCCTCCCCCTCTTTCTCCTTCTACTTCTTCGTTTTTTTTTTTCAATAATTTTTTTGAAGGGCAAAAGGTGCAAATTGTCTTGCAATATTTTTGATGAGTTGAAGTAAATTAGCATTACATAAAAAGGTTGAGGCAATTCTCAACTTCAAATTTTTGTTTTGAATATACCAACCTAAATTTAACAATTAACGTAAGCACACTATCGTAAGTTCTTAAATTAGTGTTGATTTATCTAAAATACTATTTCTAGAAGGTAATTTTTTTCAATTTTTTTCTAAAGTGTTAGGGTTTTTTAATTTGTGCTTTTGAGATAAATGTTAAAGATAAGTTAAAAAAATCCTTTACTTAAAAAATATTAAGGGACAATTTACACTTTGAACTTGTTAAAGTGCCCTTCTTTAAGGGTAGGTTTAGGGAGAATTCAAAGAAGGAATTGAAGAAAGAGTCATGAAAGAATTAGTTTATGTGAATATGTGACTGATTTTCCGTGCCACTATACCCCTTCAGCTCTTTAAGAACGGATCCTGATGTATATGTTGCTTACCAAAATTAATTAGCTGCTTCATTCACCAATCGCAATATGCCTAATAGTAAATTACTACTTTCCACATCTCTTAAAGAAGATTTCAACATTTTTGGGACATTCATAAATACATTCTCTCTCTTTTTAAGGGTTTTTTAACATGTGTATGAAGAGTTTTATATACTAAGAGTATAATAAATATAATTTTTATTATAAATTTATGTTAAAAATAAAAATTAATTTTTAATTTATCAATCATCTAATTAAATTTATATATATAACAATAAAA